TTATAATTATTCTACGATCATAGAATGTATTTACTTATTTTTATTAAACTTGTTTTATTTTATTAACCTTTTACTCCTTTTAATATCCTATATTTTTTAAGAGCACATCTAATTTTTTTGAAAGGTGCTACATAAATACAATTTGTTAGTTGACTGAAAATAAACATTCAAGTCAAAAATTATACATTTTGTATATTTTTGTATTTCATATCACCTTATTCTTCAGGTTACCCAATAGATTTATCTGAACCCATGTGTGCAAACTACCAATATAGACAATGTCTTAGTGGTAGTTGTACTGTTAAGGTTTCTGCTCACTCATAGGCGGAGTGTCACTTTCAAAGGAATTTGCAACAGTGCAAAGTGGTGAGGACAGTCGAGATGTTTTACAGACCCTGGCGTGTAGATTTAAGAGCAGAGGAGCTCGAGTGCTGAAGTGCCGAGGCATTTACAAGCCGCTGCCACATCATGAAGGACAAGTTAATGGGTAGCAGGAAGGGGGGAGGACCATAATGCACTTTGTGGCCCGGGTCCAGCCGAGTCTTGACTTTTCTTTAACAGGAATCTCAACCTTGCCCTCAGCAAAGAAGGACAACAAAGGAGCGAAAGTGAGAGCAAAGAGGGAGGGAGGAAGTAAGGCGGAGAGACAGTAAGAAAGATGATACAGAGGTTCTGAGGTTAGCTAATGTTGCCACAGAGTGCTTAGCTCAATCCAAGTCCACGTCAACTCTTATTTCAGGGTTTTGGTAATGGACATCAAACCTCTGGCGCTGTCTCCGGAGCCAGGGAAATTAAAGTTTTCAAACTCCTGACTTGGCAGGAGCTATGGAAAATGATACCTTTCACCTGAGAGAGAGAGAGGGAGGGAGGGAGGGAGGGAGTAGTGAGAGTGATGTCACTGGCAGAGTTCTCTCAAGCCATTTGAGAAACAGCTTGAGCGGGAGACACGACACAGGAAATGAAACACGGAGGGTGTGACGCGCCAGCATCAATCTATTATATGTTATATTTCTATGACACGAGCTGATAAACTACAAATTACTACAGCACATTAACCTAACTGCCCTCTCTCTTTCTCTGGCAGCATGGCAGGTTGTGGCCCGTGCCAGTGTCTCCTCTCTTCCCGCATCACTACCGTTTAAACTAACATGGACGTCCTGCTGCCCAACACGAGCCTGGCAGAGTGATCCCTTGTGCCTGCTTTTATTACCTTGTTGACACCAGCTGCTAGTTTTAAGCACTTTTAAATGCTGAGGCTCAAATCACAGAATTAATGCCGTTATTCCTGCCCAGCTTTCTTTTTGGCAGTGCTTTTAAGCCCCAGACTTAACAACAAGCCTGGGTTTTATGCATTCAGACAGCTGGTGGGAATAAGGCAGTTGCCAGTGGTATAAAACACTGTGTGTGTGAGTGTATTAATGTGGACAGTGTGTTCCTTCGCGTGTGGGAGGGCATCTGAATATTTAAAAACTGTCTTTTAAAAGTTGCTTGTCCGCAGTCCAAATATAAAAATTGCACATTTGTGGTACTGGTCAGTCTTTGTAAACAAGCAGTTATCTCTCTTGCTCAATATTTGGCATTAATAAAGGTGATTCAAATGCGGTGGAAACGTGACATACTGGAAACCAAATATTGCAGATTCTTCCTTCCTCTTCACCAGTTTGACACTCAACTTCCACTCTCTGGCACGCTTCATTACTATTACGCCTGTGTGAAGTCACTTGCCTCTCACACACACACACACACACACCACCACCGCACAACCACACTCACGAAAAGTGTGCATCCCTGTGTGCCCACCCCTACACACACACACACACACTTCTCCTCACTTCACACACACAAACTAAGCAATGCAATCTAGCAGCTGTACCTCTCCTTATGTGCAGAGAGTGTTGATCCCAGTTCTTCTCTCACACACAGCGAACATATGTCAGTCAGAAACAAGGCAGACTCTGTATTCCTTCTTCTGAGTAAAAAGTTTGCTACTCTTTTAATACAGCACTTCTAAAGTCTTGCACAGAAAGACCATAAGCTATAAGTGGAGGTGACCTTGCTGCGTGTGTGCGTGTGTGTGCGCGTGATTACAAAGGGAGGATCTGACATGCCTTTGGTAAAACAAATACAGACTGATAGATGCCAGCAGCACCTGTCTGATTTACATTTCATAATTGCAAATGAATTACCAAAGAAACATTTCACCAGGACCCACAGGCAATACGACACACAGACGAGTTCTACCTGAAAGGGAAAGTGTTTCCACAGGAATATTTTTAGGAGGTTTAGAAAACTTCCACAAGAGCCAGAGGCCCCCTGAAGTTTGTTTGAATGTATGTAGGAATTCAAATGTATATGTACTTACAATAGCAACTGTGGAGTTTATGCTAAAGCTTTGACTCGGCAATGCAGAGATACAGACAGGGAAACCCAACAGCTCCTTCTACCATTTAATAAGGGAGTAGCATTGAAGCACATTTTCCCTGAGGCTCATTATATTCATGTCCCTTGCCTATTCTGGGATTGTGAGCATGTACTGTATACACCTACCCATTATTTACATGTTATTATAATTTAAACTAATAATAAAAAGGTACATTGTTTGGTCAACAAACAGAAATGCTGGCCCAAAGACTTTCAGTTGTTAAAACACAAGACAAGGATTAGCATGAAATCATGACAATTTTGCTAAGAAATATCTTTTTTTTTTAAAGGAATGAGCATTTATTTAAGAAAAAGTATAACATAAAATTATTCAAAATCTTTTCATCCTCGATAGTTGATTTCAATTTAGATTTAAAATATACATTTATATTAAAGACATAAATAAATACAATGAATAGATCAGAAAAACAATAGTGGGAATTCCTGTTGTGTAGCTACTGTATGATGACTCACCCCCATTTCTTCATTCATCAGATTACAATCTCACCACTTTCCCACTCAGCCGCCACCTGAGGTGAGAAATGGTCCTGAGGGTCTAGAACCGGTCCGACAGGTTCAGGCAGTCAGAAAAACCAAAGGCCCCCTCGCCCAAACTTCAGGACAACAGCAAACAACACCTGTGCTGATGATGTCATGCTCTCAAGGGTATCCCATACTCGCCTGAAGACATACTCACGTCTTAACCTCCTTCTTCTTCATCTCTCCATGCTCTCCCTGAAACCACACACTTCTTGTTCTACTAGTTCAGCAATAGTGAGCATCAAATACCAAACACATCTAAAAAATTAAGCAGATTTAAGCTTGAAGTCACACTGTTGTCCATCATCATCTTTATCCTAGACCATAAGCCTAGCCCTAGACTATTGCAAATGCATATTGAGTTTAACTGTTTGCACAAATAACTGTTTCTCAAATCCACAATATTTCTGTCGTTCTGCTAAAGAGAGAGCAGCAAATTACACAGAGATAAAGCATGAAGGACAAGCAAGAGAGGAATGCAGGTGTCACAGGATGCTGATATTAGTTGTGTATCTATATGCACACACACAGTGACTGCTTGTGTGCTTTTTAATAATATCGTGTGCTTGTAACCATGCAAGTATATGTAAAATAAACAAAGATATCCTTTTATCTAAACTTTTCTAGTTCCTGCGATCAGAGGTGTGTTGTGGTAGCGAGCCACTCGTCTTTGATTTGGGAGCACGGCGCCGTCACTGCCGAGCACAAAGACACCACACACACACACACACACACACACACACACACAGCAACACAACCCAAGCAGCGGGAAACAAGAGAGGAGCAGCTGTGAGTTGCACTCATCAGTTCAGATTGAGGGAGACGCAGGCAGGCTGGTAAACAGACACAGATGTACGGAGCTGAGCAGAACAGAGAGTGGGAGAAGAGGAAGGTCACCCTTTCACAATGGGAAGGTAGCGGCAAAGTCAACAACACTTGCAGCGTGACGAAAGCTGCGGGGAAACAAAATCTGGTCAAAGTGGAAAATGTTTACTTTTTTTCTTTTTGTTAAGTGAAAGCGTGTTCTATTATTTGGAAATAAAAACATTTTTAGGAGCAACTTTTATAGATGAGGATATATGGGATACAGATTTCACGTATAGTGTAATGTGGCATTTATGTTTTATGTGCTGATATATAAATTATCTTTTTTCATGCATTGTTGTTTTGCTTTCTTCATTAGATTTTGGAAAAACCATCCAACATTTTTATTAAAACAATTCCTGATCTAAAATGAATAGGAAAGAGTGAATATGGAGGAACTGAAGCTCTTTAATATATATTTTAATATAGGTTCTGCAATCTGACCAAAACACAATGTTTCTTCTGCAAGAAAAAAAAAAACAGTGGACCACAGCGGGAGTCACTGGGATGCTTCCACATGTCAAATTGTCATCATCACCAGACCCACACAGGCCTCTAATGAGAATAATCAAATAATGGAGGTATGGAACCAGAGGAAATACTCCTGCCAAACCTTCTCAAGTCCTTTATAATATATACACACCACACACACACACACCACATCCACACAACACACACACACACACACATCACACCACACACACAACACAAACCCACACAACAACACCACACACACACACACACACACACACACACACACACACACACACACACACACACACACACACACACACACACACACACACACACACACACACACACACACACACACACACACACACACACACACACACACACACACACACAGCTTTGTCAGCAACTGTTGCCTCCCCTGAGGGTGACACCCCACCTGGGAGCTCAATCCTGTCAATGCTCACTATCTCAGTTTCACTTTCAGTGCTGTGTGCTCTCTCTTGTTACACTCATTCCCAGAGTTTTCCCCAGCCCAGGGTGAGTATTAACCTCAGTCACAGCTCCAGATACTTCAGAAGAGAGCAGAGAGGTGGCGTAATGAGGGATCATTGTTCAACTTGAAGAGTTCACTTGAAAAAAACGACAACGAGAAAAAGTCTTTAAACAGATTAAGAGAAGGGTGTAAACAAAATGGCACCTACCTGTCGTCACCGAAGTTTTTCGCCGAGAAAGGATGATTTCGGGCCGCTTGTGGTTGCCTATAGAGAGAGGATTATGACACGTTCATGTTAGAGATAAACTTAAGTGAAGTATAGATCAATTTCAAAAGGCACAATGAGTAGGATTTGTCAATCGCGGTGGGAAAACTTAACATTTTCAAAATTAGCCTCTCCTCACCGGCTCGATGAGGGTTACGTTACTCGCCAACAGATAAACCCAAATGTGTCTGCTTCGTATAGCTATATTAGCATTATGTGGCGCTATGTTTAATGTATTGTTATTTCATTTTGCATGCTTACAATCTAGCACCTGGTCGTTCGTTTTTATAGCCATTTATGTCCAGAAACATCCTGGGCACAGCAAAAGGAAAAGACAATAGAGAATACAGGCAGAGGGCAGGATCTCTGCAGATTCACCCTATTTGGCCTAAGTGATGATTGTAAGGGAATATTTGTGGATGAGTTCATACAGTATTATAAGAGAAAACCTACTCAATGTGCCTTTAAATCAGCCTTTAATATGTAGCTCCACTACAGGACAGACTGTTGGTTGTTGCTGGAGCAGCTGAGCCAGGTTCGACGGGATCTTCTGTATCAGAGTAAAGCAAAGCAGGTTAGAGGACTATTATTCATTTCGACTGTAATTTCAAACCTTCTTTGACTTTCTCCTTCACTCCCTCCCCCCTTCTTACTATAAAAAAGAAAATACACATTGCCATGTTTTCATAGAAAGTGAGATGCTGTGGACTAAACTCCATGAACTGCCTCCCCCTCTCCACTTTTGTGTTTTCCCTAAATTACTCTTTTCCACCAAACTATGTGGTGTACTGTCATAGTGCCTGTTACTTTAACAGAAAAAAACTAGTTTCCAGCAGTTTTGCAAACTTTCCGATTTTTGATTAAGCAACAAAACACAACATCAAAATTACCCTGCGCAACATTTAACTATTAAACCTTCACTGTTGCTGTCCCTTTTTCCAGTTTATAAAGAAACAAGGTCTTCATTATGTTACACAATCACAGTAAGTTAAAAACTGTTACAAACACTTCCAGCAAAAGTTTACCGATCCTAGCCTCAAGGCTCCAGTAATGTCTAACCAGTCTGAGGTAAACATTTACCTGCGGAGCCGATCAGACATTAATGAGTGATCACCACCTGGAGCTAAACCATTCTCCGGTTCCTGACTTAACATGCTAATAAGTTGTCCAGGTGTGCGAGTGTGTGCGTGTTTGTGAGCGCACACACAAGCCGGGATGTTTGTAGCCCGCAGGAGGTAGAAGTGAAAGACCACCAACTGAACAACGAACCAGGTGGTGAAATCAAAAGAAGACAAGTCGGTCCAGCAACTGTTATCCTCAAACAGCCAAACTTCAGGGGGTTGAATCTGTGCTCTGCAGCTGCTGCTTAAAACATCTGACGTTCTGAGAGACAGAAACGCTGCAGACAAGCAGTAACGGCATTATGTTTTGCAATATTTGCTACATATATACACCAAATTAAATTCAATGTTTGCAACTTGTACTTATTTGGAACGTTAGCAAGCTTCATCAAAGTGCACTTGTGCCCTACAAAATCCTTAATTGGAAGTTAGCTCATTACCGCGACACTGTTTTGCAGCTAAAGCTTGTGAGACACCACAGTCCCAAGTGGGGACCCCAGGTGAGGACATGGAGTAATTGGACATTTCGGCATGATTAAAGGGCGCTTAACTGATTTCACATATGATGTTCAGTCTCCTCATTAAGGTAAAGACTGCTCGGCTTGTGAACAGTTGTTTAATGTCTAGCAATGGAGGTCATTTTTCTTAGTCTGATGATGTTGTTTGGGTTAGCTCAGCTTGGGCTTGTATCGAGGCGATCAGTGAGATGCATTGTGGGATCTTGGATGGTATTTTGACACTTACACAGGGTATATGCAGGATTCCTGAAGTCAAATGTAATATATTTTAAAGGTGGGGTAGATACGTTTGAGAAACCGGCTCGAGATACACTTTTTGTTATATTCCATGGAATGCTCTTAACATCCCGATAGCAATGAATATCTGAAGTGCTTTGACAAAAAGTCCATAAAAAAATTTCATCTGTGGAAGCCGTGGTACTGTAAAAAGCACGACCAATCATCTGAGCCGGCCCGGCTAAAATAACTGGATGGCCTACCTGCCTGTCAGCCTTCCATCTGTGCACAAACTTATCCCGTGCCCTCATTGGTCATGTGCGCGTTCGTGTGTGTTGGAGGAGGGGCTCTGTAAGGAAGTGGCAGATTTTTTCCGGCTGTGTATTTTCAAATTCTAGCGCACTCGAGCTGGTTTCTCCAAAATTACCTACCCCACCTTTAAGACCTTTTTTAAGACCCTTTCCATACATTTTAAGACCTCATCGCCACTTCAAGTTTTAACCGGTTACATTGGCGCAACATTTACTATATTCAGTATCGATTGTCCTTCCTCCTTATCTTCCAACCATTTGGATGCAAACTTGCATTTTCCCATAACGATGTTGTTTAACAACCGGCGTAAACAGACCTTTGCGCACTATCAAGCAGCAGTCAGTGAGAGTGCGATGTCCGGTTCAGATGATGTCAAATCCAACGGGATGCCATAAATAAACTACACAGAATCACACCACATACCAACGCAATGATTACATTCAGGCACACTTTAGAATACAACCTCTTTGGACAATTGATATACTTATTGAAAACAAGCTACAAAATGTAATACTTTGGAAAATGCCGTTTAATACTTAATAGCCTTAATTTTCGCTAAATTGATTTATCGAACTTTTAATACTCTTTAAGACCCCGCGGACACCCTGTTACAAGAGACTGAAGTCAGGTTATCTTGGCCTCTACTGCCTCAATGTTGGACATCATCTATTTAACCTGTCTTTTGTTAGTCCCCGGCTTTTTAACAAGTTGTATGAGTCCTGCTTCCTGTATAGGTAAGGGTAGTTAAACATCCCATGAAATGGTCACTTCCTAGAGATCATTGCATCTTCACTTAGAGGTCTGCTGCATTAGAGGTTGTAAATAAAAAATGTCTAACCAAGCAACTGATGACAAAATGTTTAACAATTCCCACTTTAAGCAGGCATTTCTCTCCAGAACAGTTGGAAAGATGTGTCATAGTCCAGTCATCAAGTAGGAGAAAACATTCCATTGAGGAAGTGATACAATTAAATGTATGGTAGTGAGATATCATACAGATTAAACAAAAGCTATAACTACTTGTTTCACTGTGACAAAACCTAAGTTTGATGCTCGACATGCCCATCTACAGGCATAACTGCTATAACCTTAGTTTCAGATAAGGGTACACTGCCTCCTGCATCGGCACTACAAAACAGTTCATTAAGATTGTAATTCCTAGGGATACTGAGCTGGGACCACCATAACTAAATTCCTCTCCTGTGAGAAGTGTGCAAAGTTTGGTAAGTCAGCTGAGATATGCAACTTTTCCCTTCTTCACTCCCACCATCACCTTGAAAGGGAAACAAGCACTGAGACTCCGATGGACCCACGACATATTCTCATTTAGCGGCTGCGTTGTTGTGGGATGTCATGGCTATTAATTTTATCTGAGCTTCATTAATCCACATTTTCCCATCCAGGCCCACTGTCCTTAATCATCATTTCAGCCTTTGCCAGCATGGCCTCTGGTGGCCAAATACAGCGAGGGTCACAATGTGTTCCCCCAGCTCTCTTGAAGTGAATACATACATACAAAAACACAGATAATAAAACAGGGCATCCATCTCAATCACACAGTATTGGACCCATGTCATTACATTCCTCTCACTGGGGTGAAGCATACAAAATGTATGCACAAACTGCTGCAGTGCATAAAGAACTAATACAGACTGAAAGCCATAACACTTGGCAGGTTGTGACCTCCACTAGAATGGATTCATTTTGTACGGCACTCTTGAGCGATATCTGATTTTTGAAGAGGCTGAAGGTCAATCAGCAGTGAGAGGAGAGAGGGAGGTAAAGCTACAATCAGAAGGGAGGCTTTAGAAATGCTAGCTGTTAGAAAAAAAACCCTCTCTGGCAATTGAGTGGTGTTGAAAGAACGGAGGACTATCAAGACTGTCTTAGCACAGCTCGGTCCAGGTGGGCGATTGGTTGGATACTGCTTATTGTTCCAGCAGATCTGAGCTGTTTGCCGTTATCTGAATACCAAATGGTTCCAATTTGCTGCGTGAAGGGAGGGGGGGGAGAGAAATACCACGGAGGGGGCCAATACACACAATGGAAACTGGAGAGGGTAATCTGATGGAAATCTCTGAATGTTCCTCTCCCTGCTCGCTAAAGGTTAGCCCGTTTAACTGCCTGTCTGCTGGGTGGTTGCTTGTTATTTATTCAGCGAGACAGACAGACAGAAATACGTGCAAGAATGGGCGTACGCATAAGAGGAAATCAAGATTTTATCAGTTGCGTTGACTTCTCCGTAGGATCTACAATTGAAAGGCTGATCTTTGACTTTTAACTCAAGATCATCCGCTGACCTTTGACCTCTATATACCCAAGTAGAGCCTTTGAGCTAAGTCTACAACTCAGGCTAACGTTTCCAATCTGATTTTTTTGATCTCACTTAAACGCAGCATAAGCAAATCATCCCATAACAATGCTCCACTCGATACATATATATACAAAGCCATGCAGAGAGCAGTGGATATGGACTGTAAGCAAGTAGAATAATTGTGGTAGAGTAGAGACAAAAGCCTTTTGCATTGTGACAGAGCAGATGTTAAGAGTAATGACTGTGGAGATTACCCAATAATTGTAGCAACCTAAATCATTTCAGAGGGGGGGGTAGAAAGAGAAAAAGGGAGAGTAGGAGGAGGGATGGAACAAAGGAAGATGCACCACGGATGAAGCAAAGAACACCTTATTGTAGGAAAATGTAAAATAGGAAAATGTACATGCTTTGCCATTTCATTTCTCTAAATGTTTATAGGCAGACAGCTCATCTGTCGTTGCGTAAAAGACGTGCGAAAGCTTCCAGAGATGAGTGGCTACCATGTATTGTATTGGGGGGTGGGTTGGGGAGATAATGGCGATTATGACAATGTGGCTGCAAGTGTTATTGTCTGTGTTTGGGAGCTAATCGCTGTGATGCAAGCTGCTGCCCGGGGCCAAGGATAGAGGACAGAGAGGCCCCTCCATCTAAGAGTGTGATGACACATTTCTCCACAACATCCCATAACAACATCGTCCTCCCCCGACCTCCAGCATCAAACCCTCACCAGCATCCTGCCTCCCCCTACCACAGTTCACCAAAGCCCGCATAGGTCAGCAGATCAGAGGCCCAGGCACCTGCTAAGAGCTGTGTGTGTGTGTGTGTGTGCGTGTGCGTGTGCGTGTGCGTGTGTGTGCACACTTACTCTCTCTCTCACTTTCTCCGTTGTTGCATTGATTGTGTAATAAACTTTATTCAGCTAACCGTGAATTATTGTTAATTGAACTAAAAAGTAATTTTCTTAATTGAAACAGCGGGGGAGGGGCAGCCCAGATTAACGATGTAAAGGAGTGTTTTTCTCTCCCACTCTCACTCTCC